GGAAGAATGCAGGGGAAGACTCGCTAACCTCCAGGAGTGCCTGCTGGTAAGTAAGATTTTAGGAGCACGGCTTCTCATCTGTAGCCAGTTGAGCACAGGAAGGGAGTAGTAGGTGATGGGAGAGGAGGAGGTAGAAAACTTCTGACTGAGAGGTGAGGACAAGAGAACTGACTATACATTTGTTGACACAATCTCTTGTATACACTTGAGCAGCTACTACTGTGTTTCTTCATTCTTACACAGATAAAAGAGAAAAAATAAAAATACATCTGTGTGCTGCTAATATATCTTTTGACATCTTTGCTATTTTCTCTGGGTTTTAGAGTTCTTCACTGACCAGGATGTTACCTGTTGACTAATCTGTTAAACTTCTGTCACTTCATATTTACTATCCTTTTAACCCTCTCTCTCTGTCAATCCAATTCTCTTTTTAATCTAATTTAAAGGCTGCATACATGACCCTTAGTCTGAGTCTCTGTTTGACATTGGGGCAAAGCATACCTCAAAGTCACAATTTATCTTAAGTATTTTGGAAATATCCCTGAATCAGTACAACCTAGTAAAATATGGATACACAATTTTCTGTGTTCCCTCAGTCAGAAGGTATTCTTGATCATCTGAAAATGGTTCACTACCCAAGGTGTAGGAGCTCTGGTAGCATAGTGCCTAAGGCACTTGACTGTTAACCAGAAGGCTGGTGGTTCAAACCCACCAACCACTCCTCAGAAGGAAGTTTGGGCAATCCTACTTCTTTAGTGATACTGCCTCAGGAACTCAAGGAGGGATCGCTATAAGTCTAGGCCCACTCGATGTCACATAACAATAACAACAACAACAACCCAAGGTGTATACTAAGGTCCCTGAATGTCTAAGGATAAACCTTTCAGATGTACCATGTTATAATTTTATAATACACTCTGTCAAAAACTTTATATGCAGATAAAGGCAGGCTAAAAATTTAAAGTCAGTATCCGTCTGTATTGAAGACTATACACAGCAATTTAAGTCAGAACCAACTTCACTAAAAATCTTTATTTTACCATGTTCTCTAAGCAACAGCTCAATCAGTTATTGTAACTACGCTTTCTAATGATCCATCCTGGGTCAGGCAGATGTGCCTTGCAGCCATCTTGGAATGAAGGTACTCTAGTCTTATTTCATCAGTGAAGAACTTTAGATTTAGCCAAGGAATATAGTTCATGCTACACCACATGACCAGCAAGCAATATAACTTGAACAAAATTCCTAGTGTCTTTTTCTAAACCTGATGCCTTTTCACACACACCAAAGATTTCCTGGATGAAGTACATGGTTACCATGTTCAGTTGCACACTGAAAGGTTCATTTCACCCAGAAGTGACTCGGCTGCAAGGGATGGCTATCTACTTCCAAAATGTCAGTCACTGAACATCCTCTGAAGCAAGTTCTTCTTGGAGAGAGAGGGGTCGAGTCAGAGTTGTCATGAGTCAGTGTCAACTCCAAAACAATTATAGTTTTATTATTTGTTTGTTTCTAAGATATGTTAAATTAGCTGAATCCAAGTCACAGAGAATAAATTTAATTAAAGAATTCTACCTCCTTTTCCCCCTCAAATCCCCTCAATTCAAATATCACTGTCTGTATATAAATATCTCTGCACATATCAAGGATGATATTATCATTTTCTAAGAGTTATTATTCTATTCTCTCAACCTAGTTATTTGTCTTTGATCAAAAACAGTAACAATCTCAAATGAATTCTTTCTTGTCAATTCTTCCAGTTCTCTTATGCTACTTAGAAAGTAGGCACCTAGTTTTGTGGATTAGATCCCCTTCCCTATTGGTAATTCTCATTAATTTGTTTATTATTATTTCTGCTGAGCACTTCTAAGTGTCAGAAACCCTCTATGCTATCTTAAAATTAGCTATCTGTCTGTCTGTCTGTTGGTCTGTTAGTCTATCTATCTGTCTATCTATCTATCTATGTATCTATCCATCCATCCATCCATCCATCCAGTGCTCTTGACCAAAGCATATTTATTCATGGAGGTAACTAAGTGTAGTAAGAAATAGGAGAGATTGAGTGTCAAAGAGTGGTATGTGCAAAGTAACTCACTTTGACTGACAATATCTTGATAGTTTATAACTTTGGGCATTAGTGTTTGTGTGTACTAATGTGTAACTTTTCACTTCTTTCTCTACAGTCATCAGCAGGAGAACACTTTAAAATGGGAAAGCTCTATTTGCCTATCATCAAGGCAGAAATAAAGGATGTGCATTTTCCATTATAAGCAGAGCTGGAGTAAGGTCCTACTGAGAGTAAGTCCACTGTGGCTTCCTTAAACAGTAGGCAGAGTAAAGCTCTGATATCACCATCAGCAAAAACAAACAGGAAAATGACTACGAAATGAGAAATAGTCTTGGTGCTTCAACAGTGGGAGCCCTGCATGGATCCAAAGTTGTTTCAGAAAATTCTGGTTTACTGCAGTTCTGGTTTCTTTGAAGATACCATGATACATGTTCAGCTCAGATATGTGGTATATGTAGAATCATATTGACTTCCATCATGGTCACTGTGTGTTTGTTATTTGTCCATAAAGTATACAGTCATAAGCAATTTTCCATATAACAATAAAATACTTTTTGTACTCAAAGTAAGTGAGAAAGGACTTTATCTTATAAATTACTACAGTAATTTAAATCACTGACATGTATAACTATTTCAACTACTCAACTTTAAGTTCCACAAGGAAGGGTATCTTCTCTTAGTTATCTCTCACAGTAAATGTGTAGGACAGAAACTGACACTTATGTGGTAGATAATGTTCGTTGAATTAAAATGTTGAATTTAATTGAATGTGTATTTGAGATATTTTGAAATCATCTGACTACATTTTACTAGTAAATTTTGTATAGTTTCAGGCTTCTACAATACAATGATATCTATTGCAGAACATGTGATTTATTTCCTTTATTTCTCTTTTCCTTTTGTTCTCTCAGCGGCCTCTCAATGAATGAGAGACACTTGGTATATGGCATATTTTGCTATAAAAATATCTCAGAAGGATGGCCCCACTCAATACCACTCTATTTCACCCCTATTCTTTCCTCCTTCTTGGCATTCCTGGCCTGGAACATGTACATATCTGGATTGGCTTCCCTTTCTGTGCTGTGTACCTGACAGCTGTCCTTGGAAATATCTGCATACTTTTTGCAATTCAGACTGAGAGTAACCTTCATCAACCCATGTTCTACTTCCTGGCCATTCTGTCATCTATCGATCTGGGACTAGCCACATCCACCATCCCCAAAATGCTTGGTATCTTCTGGTTCAACCTAAGAGAAATCTCCTTTGAGGGCTGCCTGATCCAGATGTTCTTCATCCACCTGTGCACTGGCATGGAGTCAGCTGTGCTTGTGGCCATGGCCTTTGATCGTTATGTGGCCATCTGTAACCCTCTTCGCTACACACTGCTACTGACAAACAAGGTGGTGTTCATCACTGCATTGGTAGTCCTACTAAGACCTTTGTTTTTTGCCATACCCTTTGTTCTACTCATCTTACGCTTGCCATTTTGTGGACATAATATTATCCCTCACACTTATTGTGAGCACATGGGCATTGCACGCCTGTCCTGTGCGAACATCATGATCAATATAATCTATGGCTTATGTGCTATTTCTATTCTGGTTTTTGATATCATAGCCATTGTCATTTCTTATGTCCAGATCCTTCGTGCTGTCTTTCGACTCCCTTCTCATGATGCTCGGCTGAAAGCACTCAGCACCTGTGGCTCTCATGTATGTGTCATGTTGGCTTTCTACACACCTGCATTTTTTTCATTCATGACCCACAGGTTTGGCCATAACATACCACGTTACATTCATATCCTTCTTGCTAATTTCTATGTGGTCATTCCACCTGCTCTGAATCCTGTAATTTACGGTGTCAGAACTAAGCAGATTAGAGAATGGGTGGTGAAATACTTTCTAAGAAATAAAACGTAAAAGAGTGACACTGCCTCTCTATGTTCAAAATGGGAGGAAAAATTTAGAAGACATTTTGGACCATCTTGGAGGAGATCTAAGGAGCTCTGGTGGTGCAGTGCCTAAGACATTTGACTGCAAAGCAAAAGGTTGGTCTTTCAAACCTACCAGCCACTTCATGGAAGGAAGACTAGGTAATCTACTTCCATAACGATTTACCACCTCAGAAACCCAAAGGGGGTTGCTATGAGTCAGAATAGACTCGATGGCAATGAGTTTGTTTTGGTATGTTTCTTGGGGAAAGGCAGGTAAGGGAAGATGCCTATCTATGGCAAATCTTTGATTTGTAGTCTTTTTTCAAACTCAGAACTACAAGGACATGTCCTTACCAAATGCATGAATGCAAGTGTTTTATATTTTCTCATTGTTTGAAAATAATAAAAATTCCTTGTGTATAAGAAAACTAGACCATTGTTCTACTTCCAATATGACAAAGCACATCACATTCCCCAGTCACAGTGAGTTTGAAATGAAATCAAGTGAAATAAATGAACAAAAAATTGTAAAGCACACCATATGCTGAGTTTAAACAAAATAGTGTGTCATTCTGACTGGCACTGGTTCTGAAAATAATAAACACTGGACTATTCCTCATATACCTAGACTCTTTTTCAAAAAGAAGGTTATGCTTGACTTTACCATGTCAATGTCTAAAGATATGGTATGCCACTGTGAGTATGATAATAATTTCAGCATGAAGAGAATCATATAAATTTGGTAATCTTAGTAAACATGTAGTCTTTAATACTTGAAAGATGTGTTTCGTCGTGTATTTGATAGGCCAAGTCTTATGAATTTTGACTATCTGGAACTTCTTTTCAAGCAAATTATTCTTTTTCTAAAAGATTTTCTTTCTGTTTTTTTTGTTTTGTTTTGTTTTGTTTTTTCCCCCATGCCCTGGAGGAATTTCACTTTTATGGGATGTTGGGATTATCAGTGATATTCCAATTCCACCATTACCCAAATATTTTGTTTGTTTTTGTTTTTGTTTTTGTTGTAAGTGCTTGTGAGGAGAAATGGTGTCCCCAGACTTCTAGTTCAATGTGACATCACTCAGTGCTTTTTAGTTCTAGTTGGCATTATGTATACAAAGAATGTAAAGGGAAAATATGTTTGTAAAGTCCTGGAGCTTAAGAACACTAAATTTCCAACTATATATTCATTATAAGACATCTAGGAACTTTTAAGACATTTGGCCACTAATCAAAAGGTCAGTGGTTTGAACCCACCAGCTGCTCCACAGAATAAAGATGAGACAGTTTGCTTTTACAGCCTTGGAAACCCAATGAGGGGTGATTTGAGTTGGAATTCACTCAATGGCAATGAGTTTGGTTATGGTTTGGTCTGAACTGTTAATGGCAACAACAATGGACCCAAACGTGTGCTAAACCAAGGAGAATTATTCTAAATTTTGGAGTATGAGTCCAGAATCACAACATGGACTATCTATGTATTATGGTATTCACTTTCACTGGAAAAGAGTTAATTCAGCTATTAGAACTTTGTTGTCTCCAACTCTCTCCAGGGAGTTCTAAGGCATGCAGTCTTCACTCTGGAGACTATGGCTACAGTACAAAATCGCCTCCTGCCTAAGCAAATGGAGTTTGGAAGAATGCTGGGGAAGGCTT